CTTTATAGGTGAGCAGTTAAGCCCTGCAGAATAATTTTACAAGAGTGGTAGTTTGTTTGGACTTTGAACAGCTCTGTGAGAGGTCATATTCATCCCCACAATGAGGTGAATGTGTACTGTACTATAAAGCTGTAGTTGAGTTATTTTGTCATGAGTTTCAAAGCACTTTTCTGTTTCAAGAATTCTTAGCTTTACTTAAATAATACCTTTTAGTTTTGCAGTCAATTATGTGAGAAACCAACTTGCACAATATGAATTTGTATTATGCTGAACCTTCAAGCCATTTATGAATCCAGATATTTCATTTCTATATTATGCACAATACCTGTCCTTGTTAAAAGTGCCTAGGCACTTTTGTTACACTTTCTATGTATCCACTAATTTCTCAACCACTTTGTGTCATGAGCTCAGCCTTTGTCCCTTTCTCTGCCCTTTGTTTTCCTAGCCCCTTGCCTTTGTTGTATTTTCCCTGCTCTCATTACATTACATGCTCTGCTCAGTCCTGCCTTCAGTCTTTGACACCATTTTTAAATCATTAGTTGTTTGACAACACTCAACCAAATTCTGAAAGTACTTCCCAGTTTCTCAAAGACTGTTATAACTGTCTGGATTCAGAAATAATCAGGTCCTGTCCTGTAAAAATGTAATTTTAGTTCATTTCTTGGGTATGACTTTCTTCTCCAAATAAACCAAGATGGTGAAAGGAAATAACATTGTCACTCTTGTTTTGAGTGACAGTCAGAGGATAGGTAAGATTTTACCTATTTACAGTAGACAGTCAAACATGCTCTGTCCCTAGTTTCCTGTTTGCTTAAATCATATCTGGATTTAGTTCATTATTGTTTGCCTTCTTTTGAACCGTTTGTCCTGTTACAGAACTGAACCTGCTTTTCTGACTACATCTGTGCTTGCTCCCTACTCATGCCCATTTAAATGTTCCTAGTGGCCTTCAATGGTCAGTGAATTTAGCAGTGTCTCTTTTTTTTGCCAGGATATCTGCTGCTGTTGGTCATTTGCAATACTGTCCGTGTATACCTCATATGCTATTTGCACCTCATCACCAACGCCCTGGTGATGCCGAACCATCTGACAATCTCCTATTATTGTTTACAATACTGTAACTGAATGTACATGGTTTTGAGTCACAGCTTATTGGCTGTACCATTTCTCCTAATTACGTCAATCCAGCTCTTATTCTATTCTATTTTTTTAATTCTACTTTATACTATTTTAGTTCCTAAATGTTATAGCACCCAATACTAGGTGAGAGAGAAACAGTATTTCGATTTTCTGTATGTCCTGCACATATGGTGAATTGACAACAAAATCCTTGAACCTTGTTATATGATAGTGGTATTACCAGCATTTGTGTATTCGCTGACTCAGTCCTTCTACCTACATTTGTATACCTCCCTGTATTCCTCTTATTTGTCTCAGTTCAAGCCATTATGTTCTCCAGTGTCAGTCTGCCTCGTGTTTCGGTTACCTGTCAAAATACTTACCTTTGTTAGTTGCCACCTATGTGTCCTGTTTCCCTGCCTTGGTGTCTCAGCCTGTAATCTTGTTAATTATTAAAGCTAGTTTTTTGTTCACTGTAACGTCCTTATCTTAATTTTGCATCTTGCCCTCTATTCCATGACTATGACCTCATACTGCAAATTAAGGCAAAAATAACCAAAAAGACTTTTAAAAAAGTTCAAGACATATATGCAAATTTGGTATAAAGTACAAAATATTCATTAAAATCACTAAATAATAAGGCTTCTATATTAACATTGACAACATACATACTATCCATACAATCAGCACCTATTTTGATAATTGAATTATAAGTTATGTGTTTTGTAAACATGCTGAATATTCAACAGTCCTAGCTTCTGAACTGGGAGGAGTTTCAGATTTTTTTCTCTGTATATCATCATAAACTGAATATCTTTAAATATCACCTTGGGATTAAGAAATTGTTTCACTGTTTTCATGCATTATATTGATGAAACAGTTAATAGATTATTTAAAAAAGAATTGTCAGGTTAACAGCCTAATGTTGCAGCACTAAACACTTCATATCATTACAGAAGTATTGTTGTAATAGAAGAGGTTGAAGAGTTCAATTTTAATTTTTAATTTTACATTTGACTCTGGTGTGTACACTTGTGCAGTGCCTTCAGTTTGGCATTGGTAATCTAGCTATATATGGAGAAATGTCCACTCCACACTATTGGATTGCACCATGGGCCCTCCTGTAGGTTAGTAATGTTTGAACCTTTGGAACTGGAGTCAGGAAACCGCTGTGTAAACATGCTCTACGGTCCAAAATCAGCAGCAGCTCTGAACTAGAGGTGCTACTGACAGTTCTGTTCATTGTCAGATGCAGATTGCAAGATGCAGATTATTTTTGCCATTAATCAATTAACCATTTGACAATAAATTGTAATGAAATATATTTTTAAAATGCCCATCATCTCTCATTATATTACATTTACAGTGACATCTTGTAAGACAAAAACCACAACCCCACACAGCTGACAATTTGGAATCAGAAAATGACTGACATTTTTGAAATTTGATCAAATCATTGCAGATAAATTTGCTGATTAAGCAGTCTATAAATCAATATACTTTTTTTTACTTTTAATGTTTTAAACAAGCTCATGCAAAAATTGGCCTTGCACTTTTAAATTCAAAAACCTGTGGAACAATCTGGATTTGTGCTGAATCATAAAATGTGTTGTTTTACAAGATGTAACTCCTGCACCAAACTGTACATAGTTTCTCATCTCTGTATTTCAGTGATACACTGATTGGGCTTTAACTTTCTGTCCACTCTCAGCTTTAGCCCATGTGTATTCTATATTCTTGTCTATAATCACTCCAGTAACACCCTGATTCTTTCAGTGCTCACAACAAATAATGATACGTGGCTTCACTCTGGGGCTCTGCATTTTGTTTTAAGAAACTGGGGTTGTGTCAAAGTCATTCTTGATTGAATTTCCACTGATAGTAACAACTAGGGAGAAGTAGGATGAACAATACAGACCGATAAACAGTTCCAAACTTTCCATACTGTAACTGTTATAACAGCCTTCTTTTGTGCTGCCTGTTGGCCTGCTCTTGTCCAAACAGGGAACTAAATCTACAAATTACCATGGTTGGAACATCACAGTGTTCAATTTCTCTGTTTTCATCTGAGCATACAGTATGCCTTTTGTTTTTCTGAAGTCTAGGCTGGAAGCAAACACACATCTGAATACTGAATACTCCGTTCTGCATACTTGTCTAAGGCGCTGGTCATTTTTTCCAAAATTTGTATATCTCGTAAGCTTTGTATATAATCTGGGATTTGGAGTATAAACAGAAACATGATTTGTGCACTCAGCTTGGCAAATACCAACAACAAGGTGCATTTTCAAAACAACTCTGCTATTGAATGAGGGCTAGTGATTTGTCAATAAAACACCCACTGTCAGTTCAGTAAAGTGTCCCTTAAATAAAGCAGATGCATCACTGCCTTATCCCTGACATTAACCCGAGACACACAAACAAAGAAGCACTATATAACTACACAGTTCTTAGAAAAAATAATGATGTCTCTGTGGTTTATGGTATTTTTGACCCTGTCATATTCTTATAGGGCTTTTTAGTTTTATGTGATATGAAGGGATAAATGGGGTGGCAGTGACAGTTCATTGTGAATAATCCACAGACATCACTATGGGCATGCTGATTCAGACTGAAATAGCTCAACATCTGATTGCCAAAAAATCTGGCAATTCATAATTCATAACTAGATATTTTTCAAAATAACACTCTCATCAGTCTCAAATGTTTATCATATGTCTGTGGGGACTTTTCCAGTAATATGAACTTCTGATGAACCTCATTAGGATCATGCAGAGTATGCTTGTATGTCACCACAAAACCAAGAGAAACTCAGCTTACTGATGACGCAGTGACATATCAAGCTGACTCATTTTGATATTGCATTAAAATTCCCCCTTTTTTGCATGTGTGCATTCTTTAGGGATTCTAGACAATGAGGACATACGTATGATGATGCGGGGCTCCGACATGGTGAAAGTTCGCTCTACAAGGTGGCAGAAGAGCCGACACCTGCGGCTGCTGGAGGATGGACTCACCGTGTGGTGTGAGTCCACCAAGAGCTCCCGCAAAGCCAAAGCCCAGCAGACATGTAAGTATGACTGAAACTTGGCTTTCAGCTCGTGGGGGGCAGTAAGGACAGGGTGTGTGTGGGTTGGCGTGAGCAGACTCACAAGGGAGGAGTTCAGGTAGAAAAGAGGCAAAGGACCAAAAGGAAAAAGGATTTAGTTATGAGAAGTGAGGAGTTTTAAGGAGAGAAAGTAAATAACTATAATTAGGTAGAATAAATAGCAATAACTAGGAGGGGAAACTTAAGAGAAAAGGGGCTGTGCCTGGAAGGAAACTGGTGGGCTTCCACCAATCCAGTACAGACTGATTTGTGGTTCAGCCAGCCATTCAGTCTTCATATTGTTCAGATTTGCTGAGCTGTTACATTTCACCTCTCTCTCATGCCCTTTCCCCTACTTTGTCTTATATAACTGGTTTACTTGTTTTCTTGGTGAGTGAGGGGATGAATGCCCTGCACTGCACTGCAACCTGGCTAAATAATGAGTATCTAAAATATATGTACTAAAGCCAAAAAATAAAAGGGATGGGATTTTTTTCTAAATGCAACTTTCTTAGACCCTGTCTCACTTCTTTGCAGATACTCTTTACACGTCCTGTGATCAGTGGTGGAAGAAGTACTCCAATTCCTTCCTTAAGTAAAATAGCAATACCACAGTGTAAAAATACTTTGTTACAAGTAAAATCCCACATTCAAAATGTTACTTAAGAGAAAGTACAAAAGTATTAGCATCAAAACATACCTAAAGTACTAAACGTACTCATTATGCCGAATGGCACATAATAATGATAATCACTTTATTTGGCCAAGTATGTTACACACACGAGGAATTTGTTTCCAGTACAGAACTGAGGCAGCCATCTGTAGTGCCAGCTCACGCAACTTGAAACAACCACTCTACCTCCTGAACCACAGTCGCCCCTTAAACATAGCTCTTGATTTATTGCCATGACCTGGATGTAACATGTAGCATTAATATATATCATATTATTGTATTATAATTACTGGTGCATTATTGTGTTCATTACATTTAATGTTATAGCTGGTAAAGGGGGGAGCTACTTTTAACTAGCTTATATGCTTATAATTTGAAGTACTGCTGGGTATCTTTTGACTTTTCCACCGAAGATCAATCAAGTCATATGATTATACTGTTATTTTGTATTAATCTGGTTCTGAAAAGCAACTAGTAACTAGTAAAGTATGAAGTAGCACAAAATAAAAATACTCAAGTAAAATACAGATGCCTAAAAATGTACTTAAATACAGTACTTGAGTAAATGTACTTAGTTACTTTCCACCACTGCTTTGGATTTCATATGTATCACAGGAAGCACTTGGCTGCATATACCTTCCCTATGTCTCTAGTAACTACTAGCAGAATCCAAAAATGGAAATAAAACTGCTGAGTTTAATGGTTTCTATCAAAACAGATAACAGTAAACATAAACAAAAACTACACAGAAAACAAGCCCTGACAGGACAACATGTTTTGCTTCTTCAGTGGTGAAGCTTAGTTGAAAGTTCAGCAAAATTATTTTTCCATTTACATGTGCATCCATCATCTTTCTCATGAGCATACATAATTTACAAAGGTGAAAAACAAGATCAGTTTTCTAAAAAATTTTTTTTTTTAAGCTGTTTAAATGCTTAAAGTACATCAGGATTTTTATTTTTGTGATTGTGGAGTATTTAAAGAATGAGGTGTGAGGCAAATAATTAAACTTCAAATGCACAGTAATTCACCTTAAGGACATAGTTATGAAAAAACAACTTGATGTACTACTACTCAATGTACTTTACTTTACTTTTCAGCTACATCCACTGTCTTAAACAACCTGTCATTCAGCAGGGGTAGGTGGACCTGATGTCTTTCAGTGAGTTTTTCATGTCAGTATAGGACACTATCTTGTTATGGTCACTATTATAGCATCTCAAAACAGCCTAAATTACAGAGAGACAAATGCCTGGAAAAATAAACAAAACAGAGATTTAACAAGTGAGCAGGTGAAAGTTAATGATGGGAACAATATAAATGCTGAGAGATTCTGGTTTAAGAGGAACAAATAAAGTCAGGTGAGACATTTCACCTGCCTCATATTTTATTTACTGACACAGCAAAGGTATTTAAACTGAGGTCAGACTCTGTGATAATGCAAAAGTGCAGCGGTGTTATTTAACCTTAAATATCAATTGCATTTAGATTTTTTGGAGTGAAATTTTCTTGACGGTGTAGTGCAAAGGGACTAAAAGCAGAGATGTGCGCGCTGGCATGCATGAGATGAAATTCTTTCACCCTCTTTCATATTCTTCTTTGCTGACTGACCTTTAGCTCTCCCACCTCTGCTGCATGTTTGTGCTCTCTGTCCAGATGTTGGAATGCAGTTTAATGCTAACAACTAGTCTGAACAGAGTGCATGGGCGGGCAGGTTTGCAGGTCAGCGGATGGTGTAGACTAGAATGCCAGAATAGACACACAAAGGTCCACTTGCAGGGTGTCCTGAAAATGATGACAACAAGCTGTATGAGGACAGGGTGACCACTTCAGAGGACATACACTGATAATACCACACTGACAAACTGCTAAGCATGAATGTGTGTGTTTGTGATAGCCCAGCAGAAAGTCTTGGCTTGGTTCCTCTTTTCCAAGCTCCGGGCTCTTCACCAACTCCAGTGCTTCTGCTCCTCCTTTCTACACTGCACATGCACATACACACACATGCATGTCGTTTTTGCCATGTCTCTGTGATAACCACAAAGGAGGAATGTGGAGAAACTTTGAAGAGGTGGACAGCAGAGGCTTTACGACCTTTACGCATCCTATTGCTGAAATACAGTAGATGAGCTCGTGTGCCAAAGTAGTTTTGTTAAGATCAGCCAGTAGCTAGTGTGTGTTTGTGTTTGACTGTCTCTTCTGTGCAGCAAATGTTGCATGGACACACCACAGCTCTAATGCAAGAAAGAGAACTCATATGAAGTTGGTAGCCTCACCCTCTGTGGCCTGTAACTCCTCAGACAAAATCATAACTAGATAAAACTCCTTATTAGAGGATGAAATGGGGGGATCCTTTTAAGCTCATCATATTGCACTATCATCAAGATTGATTTAGGGCTGCAGCTAACAATTCTTTATATTATCAGTGTGCCATATGTTTTCTTGATGAATCATTTAGTCTATTAAATGGCAAAAAGTAGTGAAAATGCTGATCACAGCTTCCCTGAGCCCAATCTCATGGCTGTCAGCAGGGGGTATAGCTCAGTGGTAGAGCATTTGACTGCAGATCAAGAGGTCCCCGGTTCAAATCCGGGTGCCCCCTTGTTTTCTTTGGGGAGGCAACAACAGTGCGATGGGTGGAGCAGTCGTCTCCCAACCAGAAGGTTTAAGGCTCGAATCTTGGTTCCTGCAGTCCACATGTCAAAGTGTCCTTGGGCAAGACACTGAACCCACCCGTTGCCCCCAACGGTTCTGTACCAGAAACAAATTCCTTGTGTGTGACATACTTGGCCAATAAAGGTGATTATCCTCCTTATCCTTAAAGTGATTTGGCCAACAGCCCAAAAAAAGTTACTTTTAAGATGAAAATTCTCGTATTTGAGAAGCTGAAAGAAACAAAACCTTCAAAAATGAGTAAAATTAATTTTCTTTCAATGTTTTAATTGAATAAATGTTGCAGCTCTACTTTGGTTTAGTGCAGCTTTAGAATATGTTAGCATGCTAGCATGATCGTGAGTAAAATCTTACAGCGTCACTAGCATTTCTATAGGCCTCGCACTTGGAAATTCAACGGAATTGTTTCATGTGCAAATATGTAGTATGCTATAGCAGAATATATGTTACCTGTTTTGAATGATTGGTTTCATTAATACAACATGAGATTTAACTAACTCTTACTTTTAAACTAGATTTTTCATTAACCGTGTCTAGAGATCTCTTAGGCTTCGTAGTTTAATCTTTATTTTTTCTAAAAATATAATTTATATATATAATATTTTTATTATATATATA